CCTGGCTCCCCAGATTATGAAACATTCTGCTTAAGATTATACAACAGATGGAGAAAGCAACGGTTACATATGGGGAAAAGGCCATTGCCAGTGAAAAAGCTAATGATATTGTTAGAATAAGTAAAAGCACATACATTTAAAGTAAATAGTAAAAAGGAGTCACTTCACAGTCTCTTTGCTGACCATCACAGAGCAGGATGGCGGCGGGTGAGTGACAAATTTCCCTCCTGGCTTCTCTATTTCAGGGACTCTGAGAAGAAGATTTTTCTAAAACTGTGTTACAACATTTTAAGTTTTCTGTGAAAAATACACAGTTTTGTAGATGTCCAGTGAAGACTAGTTTGGGAGTTCCATAAATGAAAAATCATTCCTATCACATCAAATCCGGTTAATTTTAAAGTCTACATTCCCCTGAGTATTAATAACATTAACTTGTGGGCCCAGAGATGTCATTTAGTGTATCACCTATGAGGACCTGATCCCCAGCACTGCCAAAAAAACCAAAATCTTATCATATCCTGGCACTTCTCTACACGTTTTCCATCCGTTGATTCAATTGTTACAACTAATCTAATCTTTTAGGTATTATTGGTAAATATATTTTAGAGGAAAAAACAGAGATCCCTCCCCCTCTACTGAGGAGGGGGGTGCTGTCACACAGCAAGAAAAGGCAAGAAAAGGCAGAGCCAGGATTAAACTTTATATGTTCTGTCCCCACAGTAACACTGACCAACAGGAATACAATGTGATCCATATTTGTAATTATAAGTCTTCCAACAGCCACATTAAAATATTAAAAGCAGGTAAAATTAACTTAAAAATATAACTTACTTAACCCACTATATCCAAAATAATCTATGATCATCCAAATACAAAGATATTAATGAAATCTTTTATATTCTTTTTCATAATACTAAGCCTTCAAAATATGGTATTTTACACCCACCCCATAGTTCAGACTAGCCTCATTTTGAGGCTCGCAGCTCCAGTGTTGGACACTGTGGTTCTACACCTGCACGCCAATCAAGAGAGCAGACTATCTACCAGGAAGGAATCTGTAAAAGTCAATGTAATCACTGTCAGTGAATATTTGTTTTTGCAAACAAAGTTAAAGTGCCAGTTCTCTAACATTTCAACAGTTCATCTTTCCCCAGCCAGGATGAGAGTCGGGACAGGATAAAAAAATGTCCATCGTGTTGACAATACAGTTCTGCACAGTGTTCGTGCAAATCTTGACCAGCATTGGTTTCCAATCATTTCAAGGATGTCTGTATAGCTAGCACTCTTGGAACATATGGATAGGGTTTCCCTCAGGGACAAAGGGCAGATTTCATTCATGACCACGAAAATAAAAATAATGTTTTCCTCTGGGGAAAGGTCGGGGCAGGTTTGCTAGCAGCTCCCTCCTCAGGCTGGGGTTGTCTAAGCCTGTGCGTCTTCAGATCAGATACAGACCACTGTGTGTGCCGCTTTCAACGGGGACCCTTCCTATCCCTTCCACGAAGCCTGGGAGTTGAGGGGAACCAAAGCAAACATGAAGTTCGTGCTGCCCACTGCACCATGAGCATGGAGCTGCTGTTTGATCCAGGCATCCTGTGAAGCTGGAAGACCACCACAGCTTGGAACTGGTCCCTCTCGGGCCCCTCACACACCTTAACACACTCTGGAAAGTTGCTAGATTTTTAACTGGGCATCATTCAAAGAGAACTTGTATTTTCTATAACTAGAACCAAGATCAAATCAATTTACTGGTTTAGGATTAACATTAGGATTAACAGCAGGAAAAACCGTCTGACTGCTTTGCCGGCTGTTCCTGGGGGTCAGTTCCTGCCATGATGGTCTTGTCAAACATTCCCTGTACTAAACATCACGTCACGGCGATCCACTTTCTTTTAGGAAGCAGTTATGCACACCATACCTTTCCACAACACTTGGCTTTGTCTATGATCTTCAGAGCAAATTCCTTTCCAGTGGACCTAGGCGCAATCAGAGGAGGACCATTTAAAGACACAACCACAGATACCATCCTTCCTAATTTCCCAGAGAGCACAGACTCAGGGAATAAGGTTTGGCTGTTTCCTTTGCGCGTTCAAGACAATGTCTCAGGGAAAAAAGGTACTCAAAATAGAAAATAAAATCCCAAACAACAATGCATGTTAGTTAAATTCCTTTAATAAATATTATTATAGTATTATTAACTCATATTTGAAGTGTTGAAATTCTGTTGTATCAGAGCTAAACAAGAAATCATTTTTCCCCACTTAAATCTCAAGACAGATCTCCTAGGAAACATAATAAAATTGGGAATCACCTTAATGATAAACATTTTATTTTCAATTAATGTATCTTTATATCAATACATTAGTCACGTGAGCCTATGATTCAAAACTGGAAACTTGCCCCAGACTTTCTGGTACTATATCATTCACACCTTTAAGTGGCTGTATCTGCCACCAAAGAGATCATTTCCTTGGACACAAGCATCTTAACATGATTTAATCTGAATGTATCAAAAAATACTGATCCAAGAACAGCTCAGAGAAGAGTCCCGTTCTATTGACAGTTCTCTCCAGTGAGGCTGCTTCTGCTAGGGGGTTGGAGGACCCACTGATGAGGCCCTGCCTGGAAGATGAACTTTTATTTATTGTAAACCAAACCTTGCTTCATATTTCTAACAAGTCCTTAGAAGTCACATATTTTACACTCTATTTGTATACATGTGTTTTTTCTTGTCAATCTGTATGTGACATGTCAAATAGCTAGTCCTCAAGATAGACTCTTTCAGGAAGGAGAAAAGAGAGATTACCCAGGAAGGTCTAGTTCATTATGAATAAATTCTTCCCCACCACCACCACCAGAAGAGAGAACAAATTCCAAAGGAGAACCATAGGTGTAGAAGAACCCAGAACCCTCACTACCCACTCACCTGTCCATGCATTCTTTGACTACTGCAAAATTGCCATCACCAATGACCTTCCCAATTTTGTATTTCTCAAGAAGAGTTGATGATTCAGAGCACCTGTTTCCATTCACACCTGCAAAAAGGATAAAAGCAAATCTAAAGGAAATATCAGCATTTTGTATTGATTCCTATATGTTTCTAAAATAATAAACTGCAACACATTATATTTTTAAATTTATGGTGAAGCTAACGAAAATCTCAGCATATTTCCTAAATAGAATGCCTAAATCACCAATTTCCTTTTGACCTTGTTGGTTGGAATTAGAAACCAACAAAACCAACAAACGTAGCAAATCCTTGAACTATCAGCTGAAATAAATTATTAGCCTTGGTTAAAAACGAAGTCTAACTAGAACTTTTCCAAACTCTTGTCAATGCTCAGGAAAGAAGAAAGGAAGGAGGGGCTGGGGATTTGGCTCGAGCGGTAGCGTGTTCGCCTGGCATGCGTGTAGCCCGGGTTCCATCCTCAGCACCACATACCAACAAAGATGTTGTGTCCGCCAATAACTAAAAAAAAAAAAATATTAAAATTCTCTCTCTCTCTCTAAAAAAAAAAAGAAGAAAGGAAGGGGATAGAGGGAGGGATTTAATCTTAGAAAAGTTCAAGATTTCCATTTTTTATTTTGTTTTTTTGGTACTGAGAATTGAATACAGAAGAGCTATACCACTGAGCTACATCCTTAGCCTTTTTTTTCCCCCCACTTTGAGACAGGGTCTCTCCAAATTGAGGAGTGTCTCACTAATTTGTCCAGACTGGCCTTGAACTTGCAATGTTCTTGCCTCAGCCTCCCAAATTGCTGGGATTACAGGATGCACCACTGTAACCAGCACAATATCTCTAACTTTTCTGGTAAAGAAAGTTCTATACAGGTAAGATGCCTTCTGAAGGTTAACACCTGGCTCAAAGCCTTCTTAAAAAGGGGTGGTGTGTGTGTGTGTGTGTGTGTGTGTGTGTGTGTGTTTTAGGACGCAGGTTAAGAAACTACTTCTCAAAATGTGTCCAGTGCCCAGCACTTAGGAGACATACACTTTTGTTATTTAATTGAGAAAAATGACATGCACTTAGGAATTATGAGCAGATTATCAAAGAAAAATAAAGCCCAAGTCTCAACTTTGAAGATGCAGTGGCCTAATTAATGACAATGAGGTTTTATATACACTGAAGTGACCCCAACCCTTCCACCCGCTAACTGGGCTAACGGGTGACGTGACTACATTCATGTTGAGGAAGATCATAATTTGACACCCAGTGGGCTTGGGATGACTATCGGGTTCACCTGGATGATTTCCTTTATAAAGTCATGATCAGATTGACAACTACCTTCAGGACTCATGCAACGCTCAAGTTCAGGTCCACCATTCACATTGGAAGAAGATCTGCCGTGAGCAGAAATCTGCTGAAAGAGGAGAATGGCCATTACCTATTAGGATGCATTCACAGACCCAGGCTCAAGAGTCCTTAGAGAATAGACCATGCAACATAGAAGGATACAGAAAGACAGGAAACGTTTGCTTTCTTCTCATCTCACCTCTCTTCCTGTACACATCACATTAATGCATTTCTTTCTTAGATATATTTTCAAGTCAGACTAGATAGCAGGAAAATTGACACTTTTTTTTTTTTAAGTGCACACAATCCTTTATTTTTCTGTGGTGCTGAGGACTGAACCCAGTGGCTCACATGTGCTAGGCAAGTGCTCTACCACTGAGCCACAACCTCAGCCCTGAAACTGCATTTGACTTTGGTAAAATAAAGGAGACTTTGTGGCATCACAGATGATTAAGGTTCTTATTAGTGGCAAAATAAGGCTTAGAACTGTAGACAATTCCAACAGCGCCAAGCCAAACATCTAGTTTCTAACAGTTCAATCATTTTATTGCCAAACAACAAAACGTAATAGGTGGACCATCAAACTTTTCAATATTTAACATTTTCTTTTGCTTTTTTCTTGTTTTATTTGTTTTTTTGTCATTGAAGTTGAAGGCAACTCCAGAATTGGTAGCACTCTATGAGATAATGTTTAAAAGTTAGAAATCAGGGCCCAGAGAGGGACTTAGGATAAGCCTAGGAGAAAATCACAATATTCTCTATTCCGTTCCCCACCCATAGCTACCACCCTGCTCAGGTGCTCCCCTGGCTTCCTTGGTCCCTCACCAGAGGTCTCTTTGTTGCTGTTAATCTCTCCTCTATCACACGTTATTACCAAAGAAACTGTTCCTAAGGGCAGTTATAATATCACCCCCAGGATCCAAGAACCCTAGAGGGTCACTATCACCAACAGAATGACCCCAAAACCTTCAACACAGCATTCAAGCCTCAATCTGTACCCCTATCTACCTGACCAATATATTTCTTGCCACTTTTCTGGTGCATCTTATACTTACATTCACTCAAATGATTTTTTTTTTAAAGTTAAACTTTCGAAGTCTTAAATTTCTGCTCCATAAATGGAAAAAGTAGCATCAAACAGCTAGATATTTGATAGAGAATGAAAATTAGCTCATATCTAAAAAATAATTTAGCACAGGCACTGTAGCATAACGCAAACTCAACGTTAGTTATCAGACCTTTTTTTGAAATACCTAGCACAGAACTATTGTGTGTGTGTGTGTGGTGCTGGGGATTGAACCCTAGCACCTTGTGTGTGTAAGGCAAGCACTATCAACCGAGCTACATCCCTAGCACAGAACCTTGAGATGACTGAATGTTTTGAATTGTTGACTACCAAATGGCTATAAGAGACCTCTGGCTAAACATTCATTCAGAATTGATCCCCCCCTACCTCTAACCCAACTGTTTCCAGATTGAAAATTGTCAATGATCAGATCCTAATTGAGCTGATATCAGCCAAATTCTTCATGGAAGAAACATAAGAACAACATAATTTTTTCCAGAAAGTGAAATCTTAAAAGATAAACAGATCCCTGCTGGTTACTGCTTGACCCCAGAACAAACAACTGGGGAGATGGATTGTTAATGCCAGAGAACGACAGGGGCAGTGAGTCTAAATCTCATATCCTGGGACAGGCAGCCACACAGTCTCAGTCCATAGCTGGCCGGGTCTGGCATGGACACTGGGCAAGAACCGTCTCCCTTCCACACTCAGAGCCCCAGAACCTTGGGTAGGTGGGTGTGCCGTCCCCACACCCCCTGCAGCAATCCTAAGAGCTGCTGTGGTCCGGGCTCAGCCGGAGACCTGCTTTCTCAGTTTTCCTGGAAGCAGGTAACACTCTTGCAAGTCCTTTTTCCTGATCTAATTTGAGTAAGTACTGGTTTGCTGCAAACTGCCCTGTCCTGCCTGATTCCAGGACTGGAAACCAAGTCTCAGCAGGGCTGAAACAGCATCCTTCCTCACATGAACACGGGCACACATCCAGCCCCTCCCAGCGTCTACTCACCGAGCTCCTGTGAACCATTGTAACTCTCCCAGTGTTTATTTTGATTACCCCCCACCCTCTTACCCTATCCTGATTCCCTGTCCAGCCCAATAATTACAAACCCGGTTTGTGTTTAGGATTCCAGGGAGACAAAAAGCAGACAGAGAGACCAGGAAACAGAACAGGTGGTGAAAGCTGGTTCTCTGGCCCCCAAAAGAGAATGGCAACTGGGCGGAAGCCTGGAGACCAAGAGGAAGAGGGACCTCGTGGAGGGAGAGGGCTTGGGGCCAAGTGAAATGCCACCTCCGTGTGTATCTGACAAAGGCCTCCCCAATTCACCAGGAAATGCAGCCGCCTTAGCAAATGGTGATGACAAGAACATGTTCCAAAATTGACTACTGTTTTTAAAGAGTTAAACCTCAAGCATTTAAAAATCCTATGTGAATTTAATGAGTGACTTATCCAATACATGCCTTTATTTGAAAATAAGGCTTTCATGAAGAAAATATAAAGGGGACGATTTTAGTATAGCACAGCTGAACAGAGTCAGAATCAGACAATTTTCCTTTCTCCCTCCTCACTGTTTAGTAACATCTACAGTAACCACCTGTGCTGTTTTAAACGCATGCTGGGGAGAGAGGGTTACTGCTGCCCCCAAGCTTCCAGGCCTAGGGGTAGAGGGACGAGCACACTTAACACACTCCCATGAAGCCTCCACAGTCCAGGGCAGGTTCTCAAGGTCACAAGTCATGCCAAGGAGCCCCGAGAGGGAGCCGTCTTGCCAGGGCACAGCCCGAGCTGTATCCTTGAGTCACTCTGCTTCTGATCAGGTTCACCTGACTTCCCAGTCATGAAGCGTGGCTCAACAGGGATACCAGAAAACCACGGCATTCACCAAGATCCCTGGAAAACGGGAGGCAGCCCCTGCTAAACACAAGGCAGAGCATTCCCGGCGCGCCAAAAGCAGGGCACACAAAGAGCGACAAAGAGCGAGAGACTGCACAGAATTCTCACTGTTTCCCCTGCAGGATGTCTCGTATTTCCCTGGTAAGAGAATGACTCTTACTGAAGCAGGGATTAAAGCAGCACCAGAAAAATCGAACATGGTATTTTTGATGAAAACTGTTCCATTTCGTGTTAAAAAAAAAATAACGAGTTTTATTAAAATCCCTTACAATGCTCACGAGCGTTCACCGACCCCAGTGCTGAGGTCCTCCTTGGTACGCACACAATGACGGCTAGATATGGCCCGCCAGTACCAGTTGGCTCAGCAAGATGGGTTATGCAGGGGCAGGGAGGAGAGGGGATATAATTCCTTAGACAGGTCCTGGTTGGCCAAGGAGCACAGGTGACAGAAAGGACCTGGCGTTGCTGTGTCCCCCACTTACCCCTCTGGCAACAATAGCTCCATTGTTGTGAGTAAGCAAGGAAAAGGAATGTACCAGAATTGCTCTCCTGCTAAGAACGTCTTATAAAAGACTCGAAAATAGCAGAAAAAGCAACAAGATTTTCTCAACTGCCATCGACGTCTGAAAGGGCCCCTGCAGCTGATGGGGTACGTTCGATGATGACCCTCAGATGTCTATGCTTTTAGCCAGGACCTCGTGTCAGCACCCTACAAGAAAGTTCTTTGATAAGTGGATTATTACGATTTCTACAAGACTTAAGATTTAGAGAGGAATGTTAAGTGCTACCCTAAAAAGCTGACGTTTTGTTCAGAAATAGGCTTCTCAGAAAAGAGCAGCCCCAGGGGTTATTCAAGGCCTGTAGCACATGACTGACCTCAAGCAGAATCTAGGAGGCATTGGTGGTAGCCAGTTAACGTCCTCAAATGTGTTTGAAGATGGCACCACAGTTCAGCTGGTAAGTGATCAACAGAAGGATCAGAAACATTTTCTAACAAGGGCCAGAAAGTGACATTTTAGGCTCTGGGGGTCATATGGTCTCTATTGCAACTCTTCAACTCTGCAACTGAGCAGACAGAGACCATGTGCAAATAAATCAGTAAATAAAAAAACAAATTAGAAATGTTTTAAAAACAAGCCCAGCTGTGCTCCAATAATATTTTATTAAAAAAATAAAATAAAAAACCCAGACAACAGGCAGAATTTGGCCAGCACAAAAAGTCCTCGTCTGCACGAACTTTCTCAGGAAAGCTTTTCCTGCCACATAAGTTTTACACTGTTCTTTTACACTTGAAAACAGAATAGCCTTCAGGGTATGGTCGCTGCTGCGAAGGGGCAGTTCTCTGCATCTATATTAGAACTACGGGGGGAACCTTAAAAAGTTCTATTGCCAGGCTGTACCCAAGATTAACTAAGGGTCGAGCCCAGGTTTCAGCCTCTTCTAAAGCTCCACAGATGATCCAATGTGCAGCCAAGGTGGACGACATCTGTGGAGCAAGTTTCTGGCAGTTATTGCAATTGATTATTCAGCTACCATGATTTAAGTTTTTTGATTTTTGTTTTTGTTTTTTTCTTTATTTGGCTTTATTTATTCAAGCCCCTGGGGGTTTGAACCCAGGGGCACTCAACCACAGAGCCATATCCCCAGCTCCTTTTTTATATTTTATTTAGAGATAGGGTCTCTCTAAGTTGCTCTAGGGCCTTGCTAAGTTGTGGAGGCCAACTTTGAACTTGTTATCCTCCTACCTCAGCCTCCCAAAACACTGGGATTATAGGCGGGTGCCACTGTGCCCGACATGATTTAAGTTCTGTCACTTATTGAGTGTCTAAGCACTGCAAGTTATCTACAGCCAAACAATAACCTTTGCTTTGTAAGAAAAGGAAAGAAAGCCCCCTATGGTTTGTTGAATGCCTACTTTGGGCCAAATCTCGAAATGAGTACTTAATATGAATTGGTTATTATCAGCAACTCCATTGACCAGTGGAAAAAAAAAACAAATCTTAGAGATGTTAGGTAACTTTCCCAAATACAACAGCAAAGGTGGAGTTATAGAATCCAAAACCAGCTCTAACTCCAAAGTACAGGCACATTTCAGCTGCTCTTACCCTGTTGT